ACAGTCATGGTGGCATGGGAAGGCTATCCAGACTCTTTTTACAGGGGTCAGAAATGGCCCTGTCTACATTTAAGTTGGTTGAAGCCAAGGCTAAGGTTAGGTCCTTCCCACTGTCATCAAGTCCCAGAGTTGGTATTATCCACAAAGCAGACACGCTTCCATTCACATTACGAAAGGAATTCAGCAGTGTCCCAATGCACAGAGAAAAGGGCTAGGAGTGATTATTAGTTTCAAAGGGAATTTCTGAGCCAAAGTTGGGTTAACGAAGGTGTTGGCCACAGTAAAATTCATTTGTAGTCTGACATCATCTTTGAGTGAGGTTGTGTACATGGCTCAGTATTTTACTAACCAATATGTTTCTACACTCTACCCCCAGAAATCTGATGCACAGACTGTGTAAATGAAAGAAATATTGGATTTTTCTTATCAGTAAGGAATATTCTCACTTTATATCAGTTATCATTTTTTATTGTGTTAATACAACCACTTAAAAATAAAACGTAAACTGAATGTTTCATTGAAATTAGAGAGTAGACAGTAGGTTCTCATGTTTCTTTTCCAAGTTCCTAGAAGCATCAACGTCCATTATCAATCAAGAGAATCCCATCAGAGGTAGTTATGAACATATTTCACAGATGACCCTTGGGAAATTGGTACCAACCCTGTTCACCTTCCAGAGACCTGTTCCTTGGGATGAGTTGGAGTGACTTTGTTAGGCTTCCTTTTCTATTTCTTTGCTTTCTGGGTACCTTTAGTCTTTTGCATGGATTACTTTTATTTTTGTGACCTAGGTAAAATAGTACATCCTGTTTTTATTGAAAATATTAAAAATAAAGTTTCTCTAGGTGAAGATGGAGAAAGTTGAATTATTTTCTTAATGTCTCAAGCCATAGCTATGTAACATGATCCTTAGTAAGGCCTGCCCCTCAACCAGTTGGCTAATTTGGTAATGAGCTTGATGTTTGCCTAAGAAATCCAGTGTCTGGAACAAAAGAGAGGGGGAGATGGATCTGGCTTTTTCCTCAATTGGGCTTTAGGCCCAAGATGATTTAAATCACAGCTTCTTCTTCACGACAGCAAATCCATAGATAAAAATTACTTTAGGGTCTAATTGTCCTTTAATTAATGTTCTTGCTAATAAAAAAAAAACTTCCATAATCAGCATTTTGAGAGAGGAAAGTACTTGCTTAAAATCTGTACCTGCTGCCTGCACAGGTGACCAGAGCAACCTCTTACCTTTATTATCTTTCAACGAGAAGTTGTGGTTGTTTGCTGCATCAGTGGTTAAGCTGAAGTAGAACTGGTGCCCATTGGATGGCTCATCTTTATCCACCGCACTGATTTTCTGGATAACCTTGGAACAGAGAATGGAAGGTGCAAATGCATGATGGTGTACCCAACTACATCCTGTGAGGTGGCAGGAAGTGAATTTAGTGATTTTACACTTTTGAAAAATCGCTACCTTCCAGAGCAAGATGGTGGAAGAGAGAAGGTCCAGACACAGTCATATGGGCAAAATGAAAAGAGGGCTCTGGAAAACGGACTGTGCCCTACGGAAACTCTTGTTTGAATTTACTTAGGGTCTTTGGGAATCAGAGGCACAGATGGAGGAAACCATCCCAGGACCCCCACAGAGGAAAAGACAGGATGGTGGAAGGGAACACATCCCATGCAGACTGCACTCCCTGAAGTGTGAGAATGTCAAGATACGACAGCCCTGCTGTGGAGAAATGGAACTGCCCAATTACATTTGACCATTTACCTCTTCTTAAAGGAGTTTGAACCTTTAACCATTGAATGGGCTTTTATAAAGCTGAGATTTCCTTGTTGTGGAATTTCCATCATTCCAATTAAACCGCATTTTGAAAGAGTCCTTAATGTTAGTTTCTGAGCTTCCTCAAAAGTGTTAGTTTTGCTGAATCAGGCTGATTACACTTCAGCTTCAAACTGGCAGTTCCTTAAAGGCAA